CAAATGCTTATATGGGAAGACAGACTAGTTTGAAATCCTTAGGGAACAGGAAAATCAGAATTGCTATAAGCAATTCTACTATTTTCCCAGGCAAAACCTGTTAAAGAGACTATTTGTTGTACATGCATCAGGGTGCCTTTCCTGTGCCTTAAACTGAATCTGAGGAACTCTGCTCACACTGTGGACCTTAGTCCTCTTCATCTCTCATCTGAGCGTAGTTCCAGGAGGCAGCCAAGTGCAGTTTTTAATGCACCTGTGGTGTGATACCAAGTATGAACACCTGAAATCTCTCTGACAGTTGTTTTCCAACCTCAGAAAGCTTCTAGGTTTGGGTTGTTTGCAGGAAGATTTAATTTCCAGATCACTGCAACTGCTGCAGCTTTTGCTGACCTGAACAATAAATGCCAGGAGCCTTCCTTCATCATCCATTAGCCATACCAGAACCTCCTCATGGCCCAAGTCCCATATAGTGAGCAGAGATCAGGCGCTTGATTAAAAACTGGGCCAAATGCCCTGTAAAAGCAGAAGTGAAACCAATCTTCTCATACTGAGGAGCAAGCACTTATCAGTGTTGAAATTTAGGATTTGTTACTATTCTTATCCTTCCTTAACCTCCTTGCTTCTCTCCTAGAAAGCAGTCATCACTGGTATGTGCATAATTTTTCCCCCCATAGAGACAGAAGGAATATGAAGTGTGAGACTGACAAAAATATTTTCCATTAGAGACAAAGCAAAGAAACAAGCACTGGCATAGTACTTTCTACAAAACCATTTTCTTTCTTATAAAACAGGGGTATGAGAATGGGCGTGCTCTCTTAAATACAAAACCTATCAGTTTAAGAGTTGTGCAACAAGAAATAGAATAACATTTTTTAAAAAAAACCTTTAGCACTGATTATCCATATCAACACTGTCACAGCACATAGTAAATCCAGTAGTCCCATCCTGTCAGCCTTTCTGCCTGATATTTCTTTCTACAGCTTACTATGTCTTTAATAAGATGGCATAATTCTTTGTGTTTTCACTTTTACAGGAAATTGCTTGGCTCCTTGGAGGTTAACTAAATGACAAACACAGTAATAACAAACCCACTGATCCTCTTCAACAGGAATTGCAGAGAAGCCCTGTTGACTCAAACACACAAGAGTGAAAGTACATGACTGATTTGAAAGGAAACAAACTGTTCTGTGAGGAAATACTGATGAAAACCATTATTTCTGTGAAAAACTTTAAAATTAAGCATCAAACATCCTATTAAATGACAACTTAACAGTTGTTGGAAAGAAAGATCTATTGGAGAATACAAGCAAAAGGAAGTAGAAAGAACTGGCTTTATCAGGTGAATGGAAGGGGAGCATCTGAAATCTTGCCTCTAGAAGTTTGCTTTAACTAATGCCTTTTTGTCCATTTAACCTGAAATCAAGTTATTTACCCTTCTGATTCTAATTTCACCTTCTATGGATGAATTTCACTCATATAAAATTACATTTCACATATCCAGTGATACTAAATGGGATTAATTTCTGAGTTGAAACACTTTGAGATCCGGCCCACACAAAGATGACCCCGCTTACCAGAGTCTAAGACATCAGTGTAGTCTATACAGTCAGTGTGGAGCAATTCAGCTAACCCTAAATTATGCTGAAATAAATGCTCTTTTTGGCTTGCTCACTCTAAATACTCAGTGTTAAATTCAGGTACCTACAGACATACATCTATTGCTGTCTAGGACACCACAGGATACCCCTCTGAACCTGTAGCTGCTGGACAAAAGCAGATGGGTCCTGTGCCAAATCTGCCCACCCTACTGGGCGTGCTGAATTCTCTGTGGCATCTCAAGTGGCATAAGAATCTTGTGTTGAATCCGCTACCTCAGCCCCTATACCACATGCTGATGTGGAGACACCTAGATTTAAGAGATGGATTTTATTTTTACTTTAAAACACTTCAGCTAATTTAGGTTCAAAACCATTTTTACTGGTAACTGAAAGGTGACAGGTGATCTTTTTCTATACCATAGTCCTTCAGCAGACTGCTAGAATAATCCTCCATTGCTGGGTGGGCAAGATTCAGACCCCTGCTGTCAAGCACACACGTTACCTTGATTTCAATGGGTTTTCTGCATCAGTCACAAGGCCTTTTCTCTTTGCCAGGAGAAAAGAGAATTTTATAATATAAAATTTTTATAATTTTATATTATAAAAATATAAGTAAGTAATAAGATACTTACAAATGGTACTTCCCTGAAGAGAAAATGTGGTGGGTTGACCCTGTCTAGATGCCAGGTGCCTACCAAAGCCTCTCTATCACTCAGCTAGAAAGGTGAGAGAAATTGTAATGAGATGCTCATGGGTCAGGATAAAGATAGGGAGAGATCAGTCATTAATTACCAACATGGGCAAAACAGACTCAACTAAAATTTATTACCAGACAAATCAGAGTAGGATAATGAGAAACAAAACCATCTCTTAAAACACCTTCCCCACATCCCTCCCTTCTTCCCAGATTCAATTTCACTCCTGATACTCTACCTCCTCCCTGCAGAGAGAGGGGAATGGAGGCTGTGGTCAGTTCATCACATACTGCCTCTGCTGACCCTTCCTTCTCAGGGGGAGGACTCCTCTTCCTCTGCTCCAACATGGAGTTCCTTCCCACAGGAGACAATCCTCCATGAACTGCTCCAAGGTGAGTCCTTCCCCTGTACTGCAGTTCTTCATGAACTGCTCCAACATGGGTTCCTCCCGTGGGGTGCACTAAGGAACTGACTGCTTGAGCATGGGCTCCTCTCTCCACAGGTCCTGCCAGGAGCCTGCTCCAGCATGTGCTTCCCACAGGGTCACAGATTTCTTCGAGCATTCACCTCCCCTGATGTGGGGTGACCCAAGGGCTGCAGATGGATATCTGTTCCACCATGGACCTTAACAGCTGACTCACTATGGTCTGCACCACAGGCTGCAGGGGAACCTCTGCTCTGGCACCTGGAGCACGTCCTCCCCCTCTTTCTCCACTGACCTGGGTGTCTGCAGGGTTATTCCTCTCACATATTCTCACTCCTCTCTCCAGCTGCTGTTGTACTGTTGTTTTTTTCTCCTTCTTATATACATCATCCCACAGGTGCTTCCACCATTCTTGATGGGCTCAGCCTTAGCCACAGCAGCTCCATCTCGGAGCAGGCTAGAATTGGCTCTGCTGGACCTGAGGGAAGCTTCTGGCAGCTTCTCACAGAAGCCATCCCTGTGACTCCCCACTACCAAAAGCTTACCATAAAAACCCAATACAGGAGAAAACAACAAACAGCTTATCAGAAGTGGCATACACAACGTGGTTTTACCACAGTTTATGGACAGCAGTGGAAATGTGCATATTTGAAGGTGAAAGTTCTGTGTGGTTAGTGCCTCTGGTGCTTGTGGTAGCAAAAGAATAAAACCACTGCAATTGACCTTTCTCCAAGTAGCAGGGCAAAGTAAAATTTTTTAAAGGTAATCTCTTACAACATAAGCAGGACATACCAATTTCTGAAGACCTTGACTTTTTTAGAAATCTGCTTAATTTTTTCTGAAACTGGTACTATATCAGAATACTTTCTAATTCGCTTCCAGGGAACCAAGGCACTAGGCACCACTGAAGACATGCTAAAACTCAGACAAAACAGAATGTCACTTACCTGGTGTAATATAACTTCATGAAAAAACACTCTCATAGGATCTGGATAGATGTTTATTACACTGCATGTTCCTTATGATCAGTTTTGACAATGTACTGCCCAAGGAAAATCTAAAGGTCCAATTTAAACTGACCTTCAATGTACAGTTCTTTTAAGGGAAACACTTCACAGCTTTTAAATATTGATCCATCTTTAAATGAAACAGCACAAAAATTAAAAGGGAAAAATACGGTATACTTAGGTTAGGAACCATCTAACCTCAAATTTAATCAAGCATTCAAATGTGAAACATTTAATCTAAGCTACTTGTCTAGGCCCCATTTACAGTCAGTGATGAGAGGTAACTGGATAGTAAGTACCTGCAGAGGGTAATTCAACACACCTATTTTAAACACATATTTTAGGATAAAAAGAAATAGTATTTGTAGGTGTGTCTCTCTCTCCATTGACTTAAATGAAAGACTAGAATACTGCTGCAGAAGATACCTAACTTGTAAATGGTTAAATGAGATGTAAAGAATCCTTTCCTGTGTGTTAGATTTTAGCATAAAAAAGGTGAGAGAGAGAGGGGAAGGGAGAGAGGGGAGGGGGGGAAAAAAATTAAAAATCAGACATATAATTGCAAACAAGGTTAAATACTAATGGAATAAACATGGAGTTAGTTGTTATTGGATTACAGAACAAATCAAGAAAAAGACAAAATTTCTTACTAATAAAGTTTATATTGTGAAGGTAGATCATAAATTCAAAATAGCATCGATGATGGATATCGAGTAGTGTAACTGAGAACATAGTGTGTCCCTCTGTAGTGTAAATAACCCCAAGAAAGTGCACAATAGCTTTTTCCAGTTTCTATTCAAAACTGAATTTTACCAATGATAAATTAGAATTCTCTGGCAACTTGCCCATAACCTTTAAACTTTTCTGGTTGATGATCTTAATACACAAAGGCTTTATATCAGTAAATTATGTCTGGATGGGAACCAAACTCTGACTCCTACTCCTTCTCCATGCCACAACATTTTTGTAAAGCTGAACAAACATATTACACTGAACCCAGGGCTTTGAAGAGTAAACACCAATACACTACAGTGACACAAAACAGTCCAAAAATAAGACACTTATAGCCAAATTATTTCTGCAATATGCAATAGCCAAACAATGCAGTATCTTTACCTGAAAAGACACTGCATAACTGTACTCTATATTTAAGTGGTGTCTGAAATGGATTACCATTCTTGTTTAATTTTTTCCCTCTATGCATTCATGACTAAAAATAAAACAGAATTGTAAGCCCGACCATCATCACATATTGAATTTGAAGAAATTAGATTACCTGAAAAGGCTTTTGTTATCTGGCATAATCCCTCTTTTCTGCAAAGGAAATGCTGGATTTCTGGAAGTAGGTTTACCTGTATGTAAGAAGAGAAACTTTAATGATTTCATTCACAAAAGCATTCTTTTTCCTTCAGGGGAAAAAGCCTTCAATGGGTCTGTGTTTAATTTATCAGAGACACTTCATGTGCAAAACTCCTGCCAGTGTCAAAAGGAAATTACAACACTGCCATCCCTGCAATGTGGGATAATGAAGTTAAAAGTGTGGAGTCTTCCTCCATGGCCATCACAAAACAAAATTTTAGACCTACATCTCTCCTCCTGGCTGCTGAGTTTTCACCTGTTCCCTGTTCCCTTTTCAGTCTCTGCAGGTTCTCTATTCTCTGCAGTTACCAACTGCTTTCCCTCCCTGCATGGAAATACCTCATGCCTCTTGAATGACTGTACTTGGGGTCAGTGGAAAGCAAATGTAGCTGAACCACTTCCAGGCTCTGCAACAAAGAACTGTGTTGCACTGTAGTATGGACATACCAGCAGAGAGTAATATTACTCAATATTTAAAGCTATCTGAAGGTCTGGGCCATCTGGTTTAAGTCCCCGCTCTGCTGCAGACTTCCTGAGAGAACTTGGACAATTCCTTTGATCACCTTGTGTCTCAGTTATTCATGTGTGAAGCTTCTGGACATTGCAGCATGCTGTAAGGATTATTATATTTCACAGCATTAGAGGCTCAGATATGATAATATAGGCAGACTGAGCAAAAAGCAGCTTGCAGAAGCCTGGGATGTTTTATCATCTGAGCTCTGAATTCAAAGTATGTGTATTTCTAGCAAACTGGAACTGCTACAAAAATTTCAGTTTGAATACACTTAGATAAGGCATCCTGTCCCAGGGAACACCAGTGTACATGCTCCTAGCTCTGACTTCTGTGGACACCAATTGTTTTTTGTATCTTCATGAACTTCATACCTGAGGCACTTTCTAAAAGCAGTTCCACTTCTCCCAGATCCTCAAGTTGGAGTCTATAATTTAGGGTCTTACCATTATTATCTGTGCCATTTTACTTTAAATACAAGTCAACTGTACCTATAGCTTGGTCAAATCTTTTCAAAGAGTTACATATTTTTATTAACAGGTCACTTCTTTATTTAGACATTATGTATCTAAGTAACCTAAATTGTGCCCACAACACACTCAAGTGAAAAAAAAAAAAAAAAGCAATCCTGAAAATACCAAGAAATATTGGCACTACCAATGCTTTGGACCATGAGTAAGCAGTTTGCAGTACCAGAACAAGGAACTCCCTTGAAGGACCTGGAGGAGAACACTGGTCCAGCTAACACATTATCAATTGTAGGAGCACTGTCGCTGTTTGGAGAGTTGCCTAAATTATGTTTACAGAAGAGCAATTACAACAGGTGAAACTCAACAGTGATATAAGATGTGAAGCCTAAATTTGTCCAGCTCTATCTTCTGCCTATGCTATTATTCTGAAATATTCCCAGAATATTTTCTAATAGTTTCTTCCCATTTCTAAAGTCTCTTTTCCAATGGGGTAAATTGCTTAAATTTCCCTTGACTTCTGTAGACACTTTTGCTGCCAGACATGCTGGTTGATGGTGGCCAAGAACACAAAAATTTAAGCTCAAGAACAGAAAAGGGAAACTTGACACCCAATTGTACTAATTTTCAGTATTTACACTGAAACACTTACATCCAAACTAACCTCCTGTGTCTAAATGAGAAATTGCTTTTGATCACTGGCTGCGATATAGAAAATTAAATGCTGGTATCTGACAAGTATTTCACAGTAAATAGAAAACAAAAAAACCCTTTTTTAATTGCTGCTAAATCATGGTGCTGTGGTATAAAATAAGGATTAGATAATTTTCCTTTTATGCAGGCTGAAAATTTGGCCTAGCCTGTCCATCCATTCCCACAAAAGATAACACAATAATCTCATACCTTCTGGAACAACTCTAGATTATGAAAGTCTTCTGTTTGAATGCAGCCAGTACCAGCATTTTTTCTGGAAGATAAGCAGATCAAAAGATCCCAAGGGTTTATACCACCTATCCAGAAAGAAAAGAAGCACATTGAGAAAGAAAATGTCATGTGATTCCTATTTGCGTAAAAAATACTTTAGAGCCAAATCCTAAAGAACAGCAAACGGTTGGAGTGCTAAATACCTGAATCGCTACAGCTGGCAGCAGGATAAAAGACATATTTGCTACCAAAGTTCAAGCTTTGGAACTATATATAGGTGTTTCACAGTTGGCATTTCCTGTTATCCCTGCCTGCTGATGTTCAAACCCTGCTGCTCAGCATTCGGAAATTAAAAAGTTCACTAACATGATGCTGCTTTAAGTTGTTCCTTTTTTTTTTTTAACTCTTCAGCATGCTCACTTATAATACACATGCAATATATGCAATATGATTTTCAGAAGTCTTTATTGGGAAGCAAATTTCAGAGGCATTAATACTACGGTCATGCTATTGCAAACAGCAGGAATTTCTAGCCTGAATTTTGGTGTAGTAGCTTCCTAAATATTAGACACCTAACTGCCAGATCTAGAACTGATGTACAAGTGGGAATGAACTTCCTAGCTTCCGAGCTAGTGCTGATGCGTCCTTTCTGGGGCAAAAGAGACCTGTGAGATCATGGGGATCTATTATCAAGCAACACCAGAATCAGACATAGCTGCTTGGAGACAGAACTAAATTGCACCAATTTAAACACCATTGGATTAGAAGATACAAATAAGTCTTGAAGTTTGCCCACATCTCAGCCTGTGCTGTGGTGTAGAAGTGCCAATGTTGCTTCAAAGGAGATTGGTCAGCTCCCTCAAATGGTTATTTGTTTATCTGGACGAGCTAGAGATAATGGCATCTCATAACAGAACTATTACATCTGTTGAGGTCACAATGAATATGTTTAATAAAGAGTAAATCATTTCATTGACAGGATGACAATTAGTAATAATGAACTTCCAAACTAAAAGGGTAGCCAGTCAAGCTGTACAACATCCGAGGCAGAGTATAGCATTGGGTCTCAAAGCTCCCTTCAGGACAGTTATTTCAGTGACTGGTTGGTTCTTTTTCCCAAGGTTGGGAAGATTACATGCATTTTATTCCATTTTGTGCTATCCATCTGTGATGCCTTCCTACTTTGATTCGATTATCCCCTAAATTTGGTTCCGCCAAATAGCCCACAGAGGCATTTATTTTATTTATTTCCTTTATTTCCTTCTCTGAAATGTACTTTTCTCCTATCCCAATCATGATTACAAATGTCAAGCAGGGTGAAGATTTCACTTAAGGAGATTTAGCACTCAATTTACATTAAGTACAGAAATGAACGGATTGTACAAAATGGATCCAGGACTATGAACGTAACTATCCCTTTTTTATGTTTATAAGCAGTGTGACAAAGCTTAAGAGATCAATTTTAAGTTACACTACACTTATTATTGTGACGAGTTCTTCAATTTCACATTATGAGAACCAGTATTACGGTATAAAAGTAATTAAGGTATATGAAATTTAGGCAAGACAGACTCACTACATGCTTCTTTGTGAAAGAAACAACAAAAATCCTCTGCAGGTAGATAAAAACGTCACAGACAGCAAACAAATGAAGCATTAAAGAAATGTACAAGTAAATACTTCATTTTAGTGCAAAAGATTGGCAGGGCTAACAACCTACTCAATGACCTCACCAGCTATGTAATTATCAGATAAGCAAGATGTTATGCCTCTGACTAGTAAACACCTTCGAATAAATCATTATAATTATATATAAAGCACAATGCCTAGTTGTGTGCAAATTGAAAGGGAGCTGGAGGGAACTCCATTTCTCAGAAGCAGCTCATTTCCTTCCCTTGTTTATTGTGACACATCCTGTCCTGGAATGAATTTGATCCCTGACACCAAAGGATATGCTGCACTGTGTATTTGCCTTTAGGATACATCAGAGTGATCAATATGAATGTACTGAAGAGAAGAAAAGGAAAAAGTACCCTCAGATCTGCTGTGTTTCTGAGCCAGTGCCCAGGAAGTAGAACAGTTCAGGAGGCTTGAATGCCTGCCATTATTTGTGCTTTCTATTTAGAGTAGTTAAACATCTAGCCAGTTATTTCAGTACAGAACAATCAGAACACAAACATGTCTATTTATAGGTATCAGGAGACTTCCTATCAGAAAAACAGTGTACACCTAGTGCTGTCTCTCAGATTTAGGCAGACTGAGCAGTGTGACTTCTATTTCAATATATTGATACATTCCTCATCAACTATACCTGGAAAAACATTCTTGGAAAACAAAAATGAAAGAGGCATGTGTTACAGCAGCTATTTATTCTCGAACAGATTCCTCTGTGAATAGATATAACCTAGAAATTGCCCGTGTCACTCCTCCTACAGCTTAACTTTTTGTGGAAAACAAACATCTCTGATCACGACACCAACTGACTGTCTTCCTTCTGCAAATTTAACAATTATAGAACTATATTGCAGAAAAAATTGCTAGTATTATTAATATTGGAATAACACCAGCGGCCCATGCAAAGAACCCCAAGCTGTCAGACACCATGTTTTAACATAGGAGATCCCTTTCACAGAAATTATTTTTAAAGTAAAGCAAGATACATGAGCTAAAACATTTTAAAATAAAAGAGAAAAGAAGAACAAAATGCACAGTATTAATAAAAGTCATCTGAATGGAAAGACTTGTTTCAAAATATTTTTAGAGACTTTAATGAAGAAGCATTAATAAATTCATAATATTCCATCTTCAACATATTCACTGTTTTGCTGATTTCCTGCAGACTTCAAACCAGAAGCAGGCTTTGACAGGACATTTGAAGGGGAAGGTTAAAAGGAATACTTGATATCTGAACAATTTAATTATTAGCAATTTGCATGAAGCTTTTTCCATATGAAGGACTTTGTCTATAACTACAGAAATCCTTTTTGCTTTATGCAGCAAGTCAGTGGAGCTCAGCATGCACAGATCAGTTAGTATGAAATCACCTCATGGAGATAGTCTCTACTACTTTGTATTGCTTTGCATTTGGACAAGCAGGAGAGTGGTAACAAGATGAGCATGTTCGTACCCTCTCTGAGCAACTTTTCAAACTAAGATTGTTTAGTTCAGCCTGTTAATTAAGGCCTTGCCTACACAAGGAATACTAATCTGCAGAATGAAATCTAATTATGCAGGCAAAGTGAGATTTATGTGGATACATGCTGGCAGCATGATGCTTTTATTCACCCATCTTTTGCCAGCTCTTTGCCCCTCCTCTCCTGCAGTCATTCTAGCCCCGTCCTCCAGTCCCATCTTAAAAAGTGTTTGTGTACCTGTGATGTGTATCTGATGTTCACCTAAAAATATCAACCCAAGTTGCTAATTCAGCTAGTAGTAGTACAACATATTTGGATTCAAACCTGATGTGATCACCTTTAATTACTTTTATTCTGAGTCAAAGTACATGCTATCCAATTCAGAGATCAATGTTTCAACCAAAAATTGATATAATTTACAAATTATAATTTTCAACAAGATACCAATGTTTTCATTGGCTTTGACTCTGAGTTGGAATAATTTGAAATAATTGAAGTAGTTAATGTGGAAAAATAAATTAAAAGATAATAGTCAGATAATAGAGAGAGAAACAAACATGTTTTTTAGCAGCAGAGGAAACAGCAATGCAGGGACCAATAAAAACTTCTTCTAGAAAAATAGTCTGTGGAGAGTTTTTGTATTCTGATATCATACACCAAAGTTAACAGAAACCAAATGAGAACTGTAAGATTTAGTGGGGTATTAAACTTATGGATAATTTTCAAGAATTTCTGAAGGTGATTTCTAAAATAAAGTTATCTTATTCCAACCTCTGAAGTTATCACATTTTCCCCATGAGTTATGGTATTGGAGGCTGGATTTTGCAGGAAAACTGTCAGAAGCATGCACCTCTATGGACCTTTTAATCTCCTAGGTGTAGACACAGAAAAATATTATATGATTTAACCAAATGAGTAAGTTTCATCTCAATACCATAGAGTGAAATTTCATTTTGCAGTGCTAAGGTTCCTATTCTGAATTTTGAAATGAAAGAACTTTGAAAATCAAATAAAATTTTCAGCTTTTACACTTCCTGTATTTCATTCATTCTGGGAAATTAAAAAACTGTTTGGCTTTATTTTTATTTTAACTTCTAATCAATTTGCAATTTTGCACTTGCTCACACCATACCCTAAAATTAATCACTTTATGAGCATGAAAGGAAAAGAAGAAAACAAAAGTGAGCATGGATTGCACCAAGTTTGGTGAGCAGGAACATATTTATTGAAGTAGTCGCTTATGAACAAATCCAACTTTAAACTACACAGAGAAATATGTTTTACAAAGCAGTATTCATCCCTGCTATGTAGTCAATTAACAGGAGTCAATAGGACAGTGGAAGCACTAACAGATGTCTGAAAGACAGAGCTTCTGCCTCACTGACTGGCTCTGGATCCTGGGCTGAATTTTATGCTCCTCAGCATCTCAGAGGGCAGCAGCATCAGGCAGATTGTGTGATGGGGTCTGAGGATGTGGGAATTCTACACCTCTGAAGATCTGAGCTTCACTGATAACACTGCAGGAGAAAATATCCTTTGAAGCCTATTTCTGGTTACAGCAGCTTGGCTGTCTCACTTGTGCAAAGATCAGAATGCCACTTGTTGGACTGAATACTTTCTCTTTGTTAACAATATGCCATTTTACAAGTTTTTGATATCACTGTTTCATTTGTAAGGCTTTCCCTAAAGGAATGTCTCACACCTAGGTATTCAGGAATTTTCCCCTTAAAGAAGTCGTTAATGGAAGCATTTTAATTTCTCTTTTGGCATGGCCCTTGATAGCCATGAGCTATCACTGATAAGGACTCACTACAACAGCAATAAAGGAATATTCACTCTGTTGAGTGAAGACAGCACAGGACAAGGTGGTAAGGTTTCTGATATTTTCTGAACTATTCTGGAAAGCAGCTGTACACCTGTCTATATGCAAACCTTCTGCTGTTTCACACAAT